AAAGTGCGATTTTCCCACTGATATATGTATTTTTGGATAGTTGAGCTATATAAGTTCAGAAACTATTTAAATATAAATGATCATTTGTCACAATTTAAATATTAGTTTGTTGTTTATTTATCCAGGATCTGAAAGATAGATGAACTATTAATTCGAGACCTGAAAGATGAAATGTATTGATATAGGACCCCGAATGATGGAAAACTATCAATTTTAGGACCTGGATTGATTGAAAACTGTCAATTTAGGACCTAAGTTATCATTAATTTTAATACTCCATATATTTTTATTTTAAAATTTTTAAATATTATTTAGTTTTATTAGACTAATAAACTTTTGCGAAGAAAAGTTTATCAAAAATTAGACTTTTAAATGTTAGGTGGTAGGTTGATAGTTTTCAATCATTGGAGTTCTATACTGATACATTTCATCTTTCGAATCCCGGATTGATAATTCATCTATCTTTTTTATGCTCCCGGATAGAGGTAAAAGTCTAGAGAGGGGGGGGGGGGGGGTGAATAGACTTTTAAAGCTTTTTCAACTTTAAAACTTTTCCCTTCTAGATGAGTTGATCTATAATCTTTTGGGTGATTTATAGATGCACAGCGGAAGTCTTTAACCTCTTAGATAAATGGTGTATAACAACTTTCTATGATGGATGAAGTTTGGACTTTGTAAGGTGAGCAGTTGGCTTGGCAGTTGGCTAGAAAGCAGGGAACTGCTGAGGCAACTGCTAGAGAAATGCTCAGTGTATGATGAAAGTGCACTCAGAATCTTTCTTAGAGTGGGAAGATCTTTCTGATGATATGACAAGGTAGATTGATAATCAATCTTAATTTGAGCAGTGGTCTCAGCAGTTGGGTGGTAATCATGGAACTGCTGAGAAACCTGTTTAACTAAAAGTGAAGGTATGGGAAGATTGATTATATGGTGTTGCTCAGGATGATGTTGGCTTTCTGAAGATGTGCATTAGTTCAAGTAAGTGGGAGTTTTACTGGAACAGTGGTCTCAGCAGTTGGGCGATATTGAGGGAACTGCTGAGGCAACTGCTGGGTTACCACTTTGAACTACAGTGATTAGTTTGAACAGACTTCTTGGAGATAGAGTTGTGAAGATCTGGTAAAGAGGAGATGTTCAAAGGAAACACTTTTGCGTGAACAGTGGGCTTAGCAGTTGGGTAGTCCCCAGAGGACTGCTGAGGCAACTTCTATGCCTTAAGTAGGTTTTCCTGAAGTCTAATGGAACAGACCTTATAGTTGTGATATTGTGAAGCTCTTGTATCTCAAAGAAAGTTAGTTATTAAGCAGTAGGATAAGCAGTATGATCAATTAAGACTACTGCTTAGGATTCTGCTGACAAACTACAATCTTTTATGAGAAGTGTTCAGTATGTGCTTTGTTGACTGAAAATGAATCAACACACAGTATATCCTGGTTCAGAGGTGGTGTAATCCTCCTATATCCAGTCCCACCCTCTTTCAGATGGAATTCACTAATGTATTAAGCCCAATACACTTAGTGCCAATCTAGCCTTGACAACTCTGGCCTAGATTGAAGGTGTTTCACGAGGAGTACAACACCACTCCAAGCTACTCAATCCTTTAGGTTTTTCTCAATTGATTCAGTGGGGATCAAAAGGTACTCCTGACCTATCTAACAACACTCAGGCCGGGAACAACTGTCCTCCTGAAGTGTTTACAACAATTTCTGATCTTGTTACAAGAAAGTTCTAACCTCCAACTAGGAACTAAACTTCTAGGATTTTGGCAATGAACGCTTGATACTAAGAAGTTTAGTGAAGCAAGAGACTAAGCAGAGAGAATAACACTTTTCTTTTGCTAGATATTTCTTGAATGCTCAATAGATTATTTCTCTACTTAGGATGCTCAAGCTTGGTTAGAAACTTTCGTTTCAACCTCTATTTATAGGCTTTTTGGCTGATCAATCTTATTCGTTGGTTAGGATAATTTGATCTCTTCCGTTGAATTTCTGGCAAGGACGAATTGTACTTTCGTCTTTTTGTGCGGCCGAAGAGTTTGTCTTGAATTATTTAGCCACGGAGAGCATCTTTTCCAAATGTGCGTCCCATGCTGTAGACCCCTGTACCTGTTTAAGCATTGAAGGCAGGTCTAATATTGTCTTCAATTAATTTTGATCACTGAGTCAAGCTTGTCTTCAATGCTCCGGACCCCGGTACAAATTTAGCATTCAATGCTAGTCAAGCTTGTCTTCAATCATATATATGATTTTCGAACTTCTTTCCTTTTAAAAATGTGACACACAATTAATTTTTGAGTCAAAGTAATGTATACCGGTAGGATCTAAATATCCTATTAAGGTAAATAAAAATTACCTTATTGCATTTTTACTTTTCCGGTAATATTTCTTTAGTCTCAAAAATTGTACATTTACATTTGTCACTTAAATTTGAATGCTATAAAATGAGACACAATGTACACTGCAAAGTATAGTGGCATCATCAAAATCTATCAAAATGTGGTACTAACACTTTTAAGTCCTGAATTGATAAAGTTCCTATTATTCTATTGACCATTCTAGCTATCTGAAGGTTCATTTTAGGGAAAATCGCACTTTTAGTCTCTGAAATAGTCACCATATTGAATCGTTAGACTCATATTTATGAGATTGTAAATGTCACCTCTCAATTGTCCAATTGATGTAAATGTGGTCCTTTGAAGGGTGAAATTTATTTCTCACCCACATTGTACATTTCACTGCTCAAAGGATCACATTTACAGTAATTTGGACAATTGAGGTGTGACAACTTACAAACTGAAGAACACGGGTCTAACATTTCACTATGATCTATTTCAGGGACTAAAAGTATGATTACACGGATCCCTTCATTTTATTTCTAATGACAAACACAACTGGTTTTCAGGAGGTTCAATAGGTTATACGGACGTGATCTCCAGATTTGGCTCCAATTTTTTTAAAATTTATTAGTATTATATAGAAGTGTTATACATAGTATATTAATTTGTAGTATTAATCAGTAAAATATACTCCCTCCGTTCTTTATAACTTTGCCAACTTTCCTTTTTTGGATATCCCACTAACTTTGTCACTTTCCCTTTTAAGTAAAGAATTTGTAGTTTTAGTTAATTCTCTCTCCTCTGCACAAACTTCAACCACACAGTTTTTACTTTATTAATCCATGTACCGGTCAAACTTGGCAAAATTATTAGGGAAGGAGGGAGTAGTTAGTAAGGAAGATAAATACAATAATATCATTTTTTTCATTCGGTCCTTTTACTCAAATTACTTGAGTGGTGATTTGTTTTGCTTTAAATCAAGTGTTAAGTGAAATTTAGATGGGCACAGAGCAAGATATATGGTTTTTCTCTTATTTGGGCACCTAGCACTATTTGAGGATCAACTTCAATGAACGACAAGTTGAAGTGGGAAAATGTGAATAAAAAAAGGATTATATTAAAAATAGAGAACTCAATTCAAAGATGAGTTCTTATCGGTGCCTACTCACATACACAAAAAATAAACCGACATTCGGAAAGAAAAGGTCGTCAGGGTTAAGGCATGTGTATGTAACTTCCATAGAACAAGTTGATCTTTGGTGTGAACGTACCATCATTTGCCCAATTTCCCACCACTTTTTTCTTGGATTTTCTAGTCCATTGCAAAGCAAAAATAATAGCAAATGATTATGTTGCACTATTTATGTGGATTTTTAGTGTAAACCATCAAATCCAAATATAAGTTTTCTGTAGCTAAAAGTTTATATTGGAAATTCAGAATACCAAATTAAACAATAGCTCGGTTGGTTAGAGCACGTAAACTGAAGGTTTTGAGATCACCTATCAACCAAAGCACCAAATGATGAATTGTGAGAGTTTCCAAACATATAATCGGTATAATATTACAGATAAAAACTAGAGAAAATGAGGGAGAATGTGTATAATATTGATTGTGTGTTAGGAATTCATTCAGGTTCACAAGAAATTCCAAGAGGAGTATATATGGAGAAGGAGCGGGTTCCCACTAATATGAGTCTAATAGGCCTAACTACATAAAAGGCTAATTCAATAGATACAAATGATATGTTAACTATATAATAATATAAATGATGATCGATAAGCATGTATGAGCTGCTGACCGGACTCGATAGTCATAAGACCAGGGGGTCTGTGCTGAGTCTATATACTACGAACTTGCGAAAATAACACTACTACCATCATCCCCAAAATAAACGGGATATACAACAATAATATCCATATTTAATTCCAAAATAGTTTAGGATCCTCTCAAATTAATCAGATGATATCAAAATAAAAATTACCGAGTATAAATAATAGTAGTAATGGAGTATTGATTATTGAGAAAATAACTTCTAATAATATTAAAAGGCACATATTTTTCTAATATATGACTATATATACATTTTCCTAAAATATGCAAGTTACCATTTACTTTCATGCATTCCAATATTTCTTCCTAATTTTTAGTCAGTCTCATGGCTCATATAAACTCACATGGCCATCTCCATTATAAATTAAGTCATATAATTGAAAAGCACATGTACAATCTCATATTAGGAAAATACATGTAATAGTACGAGGGTATTTTTCATTAATTGTTTCTTCTAAGAAATGGTACATGAATTAAATGAAAAAATAAATGAAATCCTATTGCATTACGTCACATATATGATATATGACATTTTAATTGTTGCAGGGAAAAAAATTAACAAGCATGTTGTACATACCCTTGTACACACCTTATACACACCATGTTTGTGAAGCTTTTTTTGTCTGTGAATCCGGTTCACAGACAATATTTGGTTTGTGCAAAATATTGTCTGTGAATCGATGTTCACAGACAAAAAAAAGCTTTCCCACACATATGTATGTAGAAAAGTGTGTATAAGAATGTATACAAACATCATTTTGAAAAACTAAATAATGGTTGGGTAAATTACTAATGTTAAAGTTTGAGTCTTTTGAGGCGATCACGTTCTAATTATAACAACTACTGTTGTATTGACGGCAGCTTACGCTTCAACCCTCCTCCTTTTTAAATATCCTTTTTTCAGTAAGATTATCTGGAAATATCTTCTCAAAACCAGCAACAAAAAGGAAACAAAACCCAGCCAAAACGTACCAGAGCAAAGCTGATCAGGATCTGATTCAAAAGCTGACGGATCGGACTCTCTTAAATCCCAAAAGTTTATTCGATTCAAAGGTTGTTATCATCCCTTCGTAATTTTGCTCTTCTGTTTTTGATCCTTTCTGTTCTGGGTGTAAAAATGTTTCTTTGTCTATAAAGGTGGCGAACCAGAGAGATTCCGACAAGTATGCCAGGTTTCCGGCCACCGCGAGCGGGAAAGAAGAGGAAGAAGAGCAACAAAGTCAAGAAACTGCCGCCGCCGAAGAAGACCCATCACCGCCATACCTGAGTTCCTTTGAGGAAATGATTCGCCGAGAGATGCAGCATGAAACCGCGGACTACCTGTTATCGGCGGCGCCACCACCGCCTATGTTCTCCGTGTACGGCCAGTCGGGAGAGATGTCGACGGTGGTGACGGCGCTGACGGATGTGATTTCGAGTCCGAGACAGGGGAATCAGTGGAGTTATGGGCGGCAGGACACTTCCGGCGTCTATTCGAGCTGCTCACCTTCGCCGTCGAGCGCCGCCGCCGGACAGAAGAGGAGACGTGAGGATCAAGAAAATGCAATTCAAGTTCCAGAACATGCTCATCAAAGGGTTCATTCAGGGTTTGAAAATTTTGGATACCCTCCAGAATCATCTTACCCTGTTCATTGTGGTTTGTAATTAACTATTCTTTTCTAGATTAATTCTCTTTAATTAGCTCAAAAAATCTCTTCTTTTTGCCTACTCGGTCACCTTTGTGATTAATTAATTTCGAAGTATTTCAGAACTTACTCTAGAGTTTAGGAAAAGAAATTTTTGATCAATTAATCAATAGTTAGTAACATATTAATTATTGGTTTTGATTTTAATTTCTCCCAGGAGAAGCTACCGGCATTTTGACCCAGTCTGTGGCGGTTACCGGTGCCATCACCGCCGCTACAGCTGCAAAGGGAGCAACTTCAGCTGCTGATCAAGAAACAGGGGAAAGGAGACCAAGATACAGAGGAGTCCGGCAGAGGCCATGGGGAAAATGGGCGGCGGAAATAAGGGACCCACAAAAAGCCGCCAGGGTTTGGTTGGGGACGTTTGAGACGGCGGAGGCCGCCGCCAGAGCATACGACGAAGCCGCCCTGAGGTTTAGAGGGAACAGGGCCAAGCTCAACTTCCCTGAAAATGCCCGGTTAATGCGGCCACCGCAGCAGCCATCTCCCGCCATTCCCTCCGCCTCCCCCGCCCAATTTCCCGCCATTAATTTAGTCCAAGGTCAGCAGCACATTCAAGGCATTGCCGGCGACTACTGGGCGTACTCGCAGCTTCTTCAGAACACCGCCGGCGATCTTCGAGGTCACTCGCCGGCGAGCTTGATCGAGCAAATGTACTACGCTTCTTCAATGGCGGCTCTGCATTCTCAGGCATTGCCCTCTTCATCTTCCTCCGCCACTTCTTCTCCTCAACGGCCAATGTACTTCTCCGGCGGTCAACAATTAGCTGAGTCCGGCTCATCCCAGCCATCGTCGACTCAGAATCCGGCGACAAGTTCCGACAATTTACAGCCACCATCCTTCTGGACTAGTTCTGCTCAATACCCCCCATCCTCTAGTTGATTTGAGATTTCTGCATAGGACTCCTCTTTTCCCTTTAATTTGATGCACAAAAACAATACTCTTCAGTTTTTAGGGAGAGAATTACAGGAAAAATGATGATCCAAAACCAATTAGTTTGGTAACAGTAAAAATTCATAAATAGTTAAAACATAATTCCTACAGATATAGTATCTTCATGCATTGAAATTTATCTAGTTTTGTTTTGTATACATTTTATTTATTTGCACATTATTTAGGGAGATTTTATGAAATTTTTCGCACCTATAATTGAGGTTAGCTGATTTCTTTTATTTGATATATTATGGTGTCAATGCTAGGTTGCAAGTTAATCGAGGTTAGCTCGATTCAAAGATAATTCATTAATTCATACTCGATTCTACTCAAATCCAAAATGAAGTCAAGTCATTTTACACCTAAACTTGATTTACTTCCCTCAATTAAGTTCCCTGTTTGACTTCACACATGTTAAGAAAATAAATTTGACTTTACTATGGATTGCACTGTTTTGCGCTGTTCAAACACTATTTGGACACTGTTTGACATTGTTTGACATTGTTTTGCATTGTTTGACATTGTTTTGATGTAGATAATTTGCCAAATAAGCTAAGGAAAGTAAAGAAGTGTGAACTTAATTTAGAGACTATCCAAAAAGAAAAGTGGTAACCTATTTGCGGGACGGATGGAGTAATTGAAAAGCTCGCAATCTACTGGAATATGAGTTAATATTGATTTTTTTTTAATTCATACATATGAGCATTACATTATACTCCCTCCGTTTCAAATGGGATTACAAAGTCAACATTTTTTTGTCAACCAATAATAAAAGTCAATGCTCCGTGTCGATAATTAATTTAATTTTTAATAATTAAAATTTATGTATTCAAAAATTACATTAAACTCTAAATAAAAATATAATAAAAAATTGACATCCTAATTAAACGAATGAAATGAAATTGTTTGATAAAAAAAAGTCAAATTTACAAATCAATTCGGGATGAAGGCAGTAATTTTTTTACTAAACTTGTTATAGAAATAACATGTTATCTAATTATATACCTTTGACCTAACACATAAAAATGTTTTGATAATATTTTATAAGTGTTATTCGAGTTTTAAACATTTTTAGATAGTGTTCAAACAGAACTAATCAAGATTAGTCGCACACAATCCGTTTTAAGTTTATATAAAGTATAAACGATCCTAATTTCTAAGCAACAATTGGGGAGGTCAAACATCTTGTGGTTAGATGACAACACTGTAACACACTCAAGGAGAAAATCACTGGTTCGAAACACATCCTACTCAGAGATATATATTGACATTTGACAGAACAGATTCTATGAGAAAAGGTGAAAGTACAGCAAAAAAAAAGAAACAATTGCGAAGAAGTTTAAAACATTGATGTATCTTCGAAAAACTATTGAAGAATACACCCATGTGCTTAAACATGATTAAAAAAACTGTCTAAAATGTATCTACTTTTAGAATATGAATTTATGAAAAGCTTAAATACGACCTCAAAGAGAAACTTATAAACTTTATACATTTGTGGTAGTAAATTTTATACTTTTGTGATAGTATTATAACAGAATATTTTCATGTCTTTTGAATTTCATTGTATAAGCATTTTAGCATCATTGACGAGAAGGTAAAAATACTACGTAGTAATTAAAAGAGGACAAAGAAACTATTTTCTACGCGATTTATACAACTATACCATGTTGATTTGAAACCGAACTAAACGTTTTTATATCAAGTACAACTGATCTATGTCGAACTCGAACTCGTCTTATTAGCCCCTGATTTGCCATATTATTAAGAATATAAAATTAATTAATAAAAATAGTTTATTCTTATTTAGATGTGGTAAAAGTGTTATGATTTTGCAAATCTTTTTAGATATGAAAAATAAACCACAAATAAAATATTGGAAAAAAATTAGTGGTAATCATGTTGATTAGTGGGCTACACAGGCCTACTCAAATTTGACAAGACGATCTTTATCATCTATTTTCAGGTAAACATGTCGAGTCACGGACCGGCCAACTTTATTTTTATAATATAGTTGTAATCGGTGTTCAATATTTTTTATAACAGGAGCACATTAGCCCGGCCAAACTGTGATTGTTACGTATGAATGAATGGGTGTGATTCAGATTTTGGCATTTTTGTGTTTTTGAAGTTTTTTTTAAGATTCTATAGAAAGTCTCGATAACTAAAGTTAGCCGGTTTTTGAAGTTATTTAAGTTGAATAAATGTTGATGAGTTTGATGAAAAATTGTTTGACGATATATGAAATAGAAAATGTGAAGAAAAAAATAGAAAACGTGAAAATTTGTTTTAAGTAACATAGCTTTGTAGGCTGAGGAGGAAGTAGGCATGGACCGGCTCAAAGCTAGGTCCGCTACTGTTTGAAAATTGGGATCGAATCGAGTTTGTTTAGAGCAGTTTCGAGCATGGGATCGAGTTACAGTTTGGGGGGGGACCAGGCGATTCCGGTCCAAATTCAATCCCAACCTATATTTTTTAGCCTTCCGTCCGGCCAAAAAAAATAAAAAAATAACATAAGCGTGTTCAAGATCAAACCAGCCGTGTACCCAAAATTGGTCCAGGCCCGTAAAAAGCGGATCAGACCCGAGACCATGAAAATTTGTTTTGGACCAGGCAATCTCGGCCCGAAACAACCCAGGCCCATCCCTAAGCGGAACTGCGGAAGTGCCCGGGTGAGTGGCTTCACTTGGGTTTTTGGGAAGACGCACACTTTCTTTCACATTGAAGATTTTACGGCAATTAACAAGCGCATAAGAATCATGAGACGATGACCGGGGCAGAAGGAAGAGGAAGGAGGATAGGGAAGGACTGGTTGAGAAGAATTATTTAAGTTTAGTAGCAAGATGGATGAAGAGAATGTGTCTGATGCTAGAGGTAAATTAATGAAATGGGAGATCCAAAATATGTTTGTGGCACACACGACTAAAAATTTAGTCATAAATGCTAGGGCACCCCATTTTGTGTACCATTCGTTCACATGTCTCTCTATGTAAACAGAGTTTTATGTATACAGACAACTTTGTAGTTTCGAACATAGTTGTCTATATAAACAGACAAACAGTGTGCGTGAATGGGGAACAGTGCACCTAGCATTTCTCAAATTTAGTACATTGAAGTGGTAATTATCTTGACGCAGTCACACAGACTCGACATTAGTGGAAGGTCAATGAGGATCAAGGGATTGTGACATCTAGTGATGTGGTATCAAGCTAGCTTAATTTTAGATCTAATATTATTTTGGAGAGTTTAGAATTGATTTTGCTTCTTCTTTTTCAAAGCAAAATCAGAATCAAAATCAGTTTTCAAAAATTATTCTCTCAACTTCTAAACAAACTACTTCTAGGAGTAAATTAGAGTATCAAAAGTACTTCTGCATTTTCACTCAAACACTCCAACTTTTGTGTCTGCAATGAATAGAAGCAATTTTAAGAATCAGATCCAAACACTCCATTTATTTTGGTTAGGTTTTTCATTTTTGGTTTGAGACTTCTTGGATGAGTTTATATTTGTCGTAAAAGTTTCCTGGCCAGAAATAATGAGACTATCAGAGCCTAACTAATATTCATAGCATGATTAACGATATGATTTTCTCTTTATAGGACAACCGCAACAGTAACAATGGCCATATAACTTTGTTACACAGCACATCTTGACTCAAAAAAGACCTTAAATAAATAGCAAGTGATGATATATTTCTTCCCCAGTCCTGTGTCATTACTCAATATTATCATATGGTTCTACAAAACTTTGTAAAGTCAGTGTTGAAAAGCTATCCACTTCCTACTTGAGTGCTTATATAAACATGATATCCTCCTTTGACAATTGCATCTTGCCATTGTCCCGTCTCGGGTTAATGGGTCTCTGGTCTGGTTGCCCCTTCTGTAAACAAATAAATATCCAATTTGATATGAAGTAGCATAAGCATTTTAAATTTAATATAAATCACTTAAACATTTTAAATGCTTATTGAACTTTTTTGGAATGAGCATTTGGTAACACCCAATTCTACCAAACAAGCCAAAAGCTACTAAGGGCCCGTTTGGTGGGGGTATTTGGCTGAAATAAATGAATTTGTTGAATTTCCTTGCAGGAAAAGTGTTGGGTAAAAGCTATTTCAACCAAATAGATATGCCAAAAGTATTTATTGTGGTTATTCTGAATAAGGAGAATAAACCCATTAATGCAACCAAACGAGGCCTTTTCTTCAGCTGATAATCAAAATAATCTAAATCAGGGGCTACCAAACAGATCCATAGGGATGACACTTGCCTTCTTCAAGACAAATGAAAGATATAAATACGCTGCATCCCATTCATCTGGTGAGAGGGTACCTTTATCAAGCCAATGCAGGTTGAAATTTATTAAATGTAAATGTCAAAAGTAAATAAAAGAGGAGAATTAATTAATTATTTGAATTCCTCCAAAAAAAATACTCATTTGAATAGGAATTTCTTATGGAGGCTTACTTTGGTCTTGGTTTCCATCACCCAATGCACCGAGCCTTCGCATGAGCTCGACGAACTCCGGCTTCTTCATATATTCATCAATAAATGCATGCGAATTTTTTGCAAATACTAGCTCCAAATCATACTGCATTTCCAAATTATTCATATGAGTCAATCTTTAATGAAATAATATTAAAAAAGGGAATAGAATGATGATTGATGATACTCTTTCATTTTAACCTCTTCAGCCATTTCCTTGAAAAGGTGGAAAGGTACAATCCATTCAGGGCAATCAACAGCGTCCTGCAAAACAAAACTTCTACCATGTTATCTGTGCTTTGACTTTTTTAACCAGAGGAAGTCACTGATTAATAGTCAAGAAACTTCACTATGCATTAAGACAGGGATTTATTAGTCCATGTTTTCACTTGATACAAACAAAAATGTTGCTTCTATCTGTTGTGGAATAAGGCAGCCATCATCTTCATTGTTCTCCATTTTCTCTTACAATCACAGATTTTGTTTCTATCTTTTTGTATTAAAAAATTGGTTGCCTTGAGCAGTTCAGTGGGAACTAAAAATGAACTATACATAAAAGCTCCATGTTGAGGAAATATTTACATTATAAAAATGAATTAAGCAACAATAAAATAATGAAAAAACAGACACAGGGCATAAAACCCATAATAACAGACCTGCAAGTGGAACTTGTATTTGATGCCAAAGGGATCAGAAGATCCAAATTTCTGTATGCCAAAAGATCAAATGAGGCAGTGGCAACTCTGATTAGTTCTTAAACATGTGAATGAAGCTCATACAAATACCACTTGACATGTTGCAATAGATCCTACCTTTTCTGAGTATTCTTCACTAAACTCTATTGAATACACGCTATTACCAAAACTTAGCCCTTGAGCTGCACAGTTCATGAAATGTAATACCAACTTAGCATTTCTGCTCCATGTAAGAACATAAGATAAAGGGCAGACCGTAAAAACTTAAGACCTTGTCTAAGTTTTTTTATTATAACATTGGCATCTGGCATTGTTCCAATGAAGATGCCTCCAGGTCTAAGTAAAGCTGATACATTCGCCAATGCGCGTCGTGCACGTGCTTCGGTTGACCATGAGTAATGCATGGCAAACTACAAAATAGAAAGCTTTGTAAAGCAATCTAAAATTTCACTGGAGAAAGACACCACTGACGACACACAAAAAAAAAACTTTAAAAAATTAAGAACGCCTACTAACAAAGATTTCAGAAGAGCAACTATGTTGCACGGAAACATGGAAAACACAAGGAAACGTGAAAACCCATCTTTTAAAGAAAAATAAGTGTTTGAAGAGTTTCTAAGGAGTTTCCATAGAATTTCTGAAGCGGCAACGTATTTAGGGGATGTTTGGAATTGATTCTTTCATTTTTAAAAGCAGAAGCACAATTAGAATCAGTTTTTCAGAAGCTGGTCTCCCCCAGCTTCTCAAAAACCGCTTCTAGAGCAATTTGGATCACTTAGAAGTAGTTCTTTATTTCCACTCAAACACTCCAATATCTACTTTTGTTCCTGAAGGAGCAGAAGCAGGTGTATGAAACTAATCCCAACACCCCCTACACCCCCTAGTTACTTCCTGATAGTTTATGTGCTTCATGGAGGATCAACATCGGTTAAATATTACTCCCCGTGTCCCTCAATTATCTACATACTTCCCTTTTTGGTCAATCTCAAAGTTATTGTTGATTTCTAATTTTTTTAATGAAAAAAATGTGTGGTCCACTGTCCACAACATTTCTCTCTCTTTTGAATATATCTCAAGATTCTCAACCACACAATTTTTATTTTCTTTTCACTGTTTGAATGGTCAAATTAGATTATGTTTTAAGGACAGAGAGTAAATAGTTAATAATAAGGATACAATTTAGCAAGTAGAAAATAACTTAATGTTCAAATACTATTAAAAGGATTTATCAGCATATTTAGAGATCTAATTGGTTATAGCTGTTGAACTGAAAACACCAATATGCAATAGATTAACCAACCTGGCAGCTAATAAGGTCAAAAGGCATATCATCTGCTAAAACTCTATCCAACCGAACCTGAAACCAATGAAATAGATAGTGCGAGATTATTTTTTCATTCTTGAGATGATTTCACATCCAACTATCATGGATGCATGTGATGTATAAGAGAGTAAAAATTGGAGTTTGTGTTATTGCACCTCAAAACAATCTCCACAAATAAGTCTAGCTGGAAAAGAGAACTTTTTACGCCGTTGATGATGATCTGCATCACCATTATAGCGTGTACGGCAATCCTCAATCTGCACATAATTGTTAGACGTATTATTAAGAGCAGTGGAAGCATATTTTGACAAAAGAAGAGAATAGATCTTATTTCAAAAGAAGAGAATAAATCTTAATTGAAAGGAAAACTTGGACGGAAATGGAGTGATCTTGAGGAACAAGCACAAGAGCCTGATCGCCTGATCGGTAGAGGAGAATTTTATTGCTATTCCAAAAACACAACTTGAACATGTAATTAAATGGATTACTCCACTTACTGAGCCTTCAGCAATGTCAATGCCGACATAATATGAAATCTTTGCTTTGTCCCACTTAATAAGATCGCCACCCTGATTAAAATTAAAACAAGAAAAATAAGACAACTACCTCAAGATAATAGAGAACCATCGTCTGCAAGAGAATTGCATATAAAAATATCAGATATTTTCAAATGCTTTGTACATAAATACCTTTCCACAAGCAAGATCAAGAACTACATCCCCTCTTTTGGTGTAAAGTTGAATTAAGACGCTTTTGATCTGGTTAAAACGTAATATTCAGAATTATTAAAACTAAAGAATCATGTTAGCTGTTTGAGACATTAACTAACCTCACCAGCTAAAGGAAAGTGATATAAAATGCTTACCCAATTGTTAAGCTTTTTTAAATGGATAATAGGACTTGCTTCTCGCTCTTCGAGGGTCTGGTTGGTCCTTGCACTATAATGATCAGCAACTTTCCTGGCGAATAGTTTTGTACTCTCATCCTCCAAAAACTGAGAGTCGCCTAATCACAATAGAGATATGCATTCAGAACTTTAGACCCACATAAACTCAGATTTTTGAAGATGGAAAGTTGGAGGGTTGCTATAATTTAAGACCAATTTACTAAAGTAGCAAACTTTATGTCAAAGCCATATTTTCCAACTAGGGGATAATAAACGTAGTACAAAATAGACTGATCTTGCATTCTTGATCAATAAGATCCTCTTGAAGCTGAACTTCACCAAATTGAACACAGACAATGTAGGAGGATTCTAAGGGCATGTTTACTAACAGAGATATTTTCCAGTTCTCTATTTCTGTTTTCCGTTCTCCGATTTTCTGTTTTCATTTTCCAGTTTTTCTATCTCCATTTTTCTGTTTTCACTTTTTAGTTTTCCACTTTCAAATCTGAAAATAAGTTCATCAAATTTTTTCACTCGGTTCTGTGACCAACCAAATGACCGAAAGTACGGTCCCAGTTAAGAACCAAACCTAGTACAACCCAAGTAGGGTACCAGGTCCCGCGTATAGGAAAGTCGGGACCGAAACTGGCATGTCCTGGTCGACCTCAACGGTTAGTTTGACGAATTCTTTTCCCATTTCCCTATTGATTGACACCTCAATGGCTTTTTAAAAACTTTTCACTTTAAAAAATGATTTCAAAAAACGAGACTTAACCGCCGGGTCATTGACCGACCCGGACAGGGACCGCCGGGTCATTGGTGAGACTGGCTCAGGACCACCTTGTTGCCGATCAAACTGAACACATATCGGCGAGTCATTGGCCGGACAAGATGGGGCCCGCCGGGTAGTTGACCGACGGGGACCGCTGAGTCGTTGACCAGACCGGGACTGCCCGACCGTCGACCAGATCGAAAAGGTACCGGCGACCGGACCAGACATGGACCGTCGGGTCGTCTCTCGAGCCGAACATGGTCCGCCGGGTCGTGGATCGGGCCGAACAGGTTCCCCGGGTCATGGAATAGACCGGAAAGGGACCGTCGGGTTGTTGACCGGACTACATAGGGAGCCTCGGGCCGTCGACCAGACCAGAAAGGGACCGTCGGGTCAATGATCGGACCACCGGGTCAATGACCGGACCAGATATGGACCGTCGGGTCATTGATCGGACCGGATTGGAACTGACACCGCAACGGGACTGGATCCACCATTAGGCGTAAGTATGCAAATTCATTGCACCATGTTTTCCAAATTTGGAAAATTGGTACAAGTCACTTCTCCGATTCATTAAGGAAATCAGAGACATCTCATTTTTTTGTTTTGGAAAATGATTTGGTAAACACATTTTTCTGTTTTTCTTTCTCCAGTTTTCAACAACTTTTTTGGTAAACACGTTTTTTGTTTTCCGTTTTCCAATTTTCCAGTTTTCGGAAAAACTAGAAAATATTTAGTAAACAGGCCCTAAATGTTTGACCGCTTTGTTCAGATGTCGCCATTTGGGGCGGTTTCTGGTGGAATTTTTTGATGAAATTTTTTGAGCATCTTTTATTAAGTCTAGTTTATTCATACCAAATTTCAGCTAAAAAAATCAATCGAGAAGACAGTCAAATGATTTTCTGAAATATACTACGCTGCCTAACTACGCAATTATCTTAAAAAATTCATTTGACTGCATTTCTGATTGAATGTTTAGGTGAAATTTGGTATGAGTAAACAAATTCCACGGTAAACCGCACCAAATGGCAACGGACGGACAAAATGTCCTGTAAAAGGGCTTATTTGAACTTTTTATGAAAATCCGAGGACTTATTTGATAGTTATAAAGATATACTTTTTACTTCAGAGGGTGCAAATTTTAGATCAAAACCATTTAGCAAGCGAAATACCAGAACTGATCCAAATCATCATAAACGATGAGCTGATACAAGTAGTATTTTCCATAGCTCAAGTTCGAAACTTAATATAGCAATCTCGAGCCTTGAAATTTAATGAAAATCACCTGGTGCGTTGTATTTAAACTTAGACGAAGGTGGTCCAATCGAGCTAGACGATGGCGAACCCGAGAAACTACGCTTCATGCTTCAGAATCTGGGTTAACTTGTACAGTTTGAGCCTTTTCTATTCTTCACGCCTAATCCCTTGACCTCCGAAGGCAGTTATCGTTTCCGGCAACGCATGAATAGCCGCCGCTGCGCCCAAGTTCCGGCTAGAATCCTTATAAAATTGTCAATTTCCCTTTACCTGTCTTCCCGATTTACTTCGTCACTGGCCGATCCTGCTGTCCTGATTCCTGAGCTTTCTCTTTTCGGATTTAGTTCTTCAGACTTTCAGAACGGCGATTTTACTATAATCAAGGTGAACAATATATCCCTAATATACGGAATAAAATAATAAATCAATGATACATAAGAACAATAGAACTCCGTCATAACGGAGGACTACAACATTCTCAGCTGGTGATTCGTAAACCCATACAAAATACAAAAATGATGTTTGTACACAGTCTTATACACACTTTTGTACACACCTATGTCTGTGAAAGCTTTTTTTTTGTCTGTGAACATCGATTCATAGACAATGTTTTGCACAAACAAAATATTGTCTGTGAACCGGATTCACAGACAAAAAAAAGTTTCACAAACATGGTGTGTACAAGGGTGTGTACATCAAGCATGGTTGTTTCAAGGGAAAACCCCCATAGATCGAATGTTTAACTCATTTCTTTTCTAAAAGGCAAAAATATACTCCGTAGTTGATAATGATTGATCCAATCCGCAATATAATATTCTAGTTTTCTTGCTCAATTTGTTGATGTAAAAATTTAACCTTTACCATAGGGGTGGACCCGGGCCGGTTCCGGGCCGGACCTAGGCCCAGGCGGGCTTTTTTTCGGAATGTTGGGCCCGGAAACGGCCCGGGTTGATACCGGGTCCGGACCAAACCGGGCCGGACCCGATTCTATGTAATTTTTTTTGGCTTTCTAATTAACCGCCGACCCCCTCTCTCACCCCCACCCCCAAAACCCCCCCAAAACACCCAGCCCTACCCAAGTAAAACAAAAAAATTGAAAAAACAAAAAAAAAATGAACCGGGCCCGGGCCGAACCGCCCAGACCGGTTCATGAAAATCATGGCCCGGAACCGGCCCGCCAGAACCGCCCAAACCGGGCTAAAGCCCCGAACCGGCCATCCGGGTCCGGTCCGGTCCGGTCCGAACCCGCACAATAGCGGGCCCGATCCGGTCTGGGCCCGCACAGTAGCGGGCCTGATCCGATCCGAGCCCGTACAATAGCGGGCCGGGCCGGTTCCGGGCCAGCTCGGTTGGGTCCATGCCTACTTTACCATGTGTCATTTTTAAACTTTACTTTTGAAATCTTATACTTGTAGACTAGATGGATTATCTCGAAGTACAATTAGGGGTGGACATAAATATCCGTAACCGATTAACCGTACTAAAATACCGTAAAACCGGTGTTTTCTCGGTTAACCGTACCGTGTTTTAGAAAATTTTGCGGTACGGTTAACCAACCGAAAGAGAAAGCGGTACATGGGATGGTTACGGTTTTGAAATATTTCTACCATCGGTTAACCGGTAATCCACCGTTAACATATTATTACTAGTAAACACATGTCACAGTAAACATGTTGCGTGTGTATTGTCTCGTACTGGAAACATTTAGTGTACTGAGTTTTATACTCCGTATGTCGTATAATTAGGAATTTAGGATATACGTATACATTTGTATTATTATTATTGCATTATTACACACCACTGCAATTGCACCCACTTGTCATTCCCATGCAAACCCATTCATGATTTACTCGTATTTTACATCCTTGTTTCTCACATATGTAAGGTACAGAGCATATACACGTGTGCCAAACACTCATGTTGCCTTTATTAGAAACACAATGTGCTTCATAGTTCATATTCAATATAGAAACCAATTTCATACAAGAAACGAATACGCATAGTCTTATAAGCTTAAGGTCATAAATTGAATGAGCAAATGATTTTTCGGTTAACCAATTAATGGTTAACCTATATTACGGTTTAATGTTCTACGGTTAACCGATGTTATGGTACGGTTAATGATATTATAAACATTCTTACCGAAAGCACGGTTAACCAAAGATTGGTTAACCGAAATGCGGTTAACCAACCGTGCCCACTCCTAAGTACAATAGTATAAAAAATGACTATGTTGTGTTATTATTAGTTGACACTTGAAAATTGACATCGGTCTAGAGCTCACATGAGAGAAAGAATGTTTTGTTTTAACTCGACAACAAAATAGACTGCTAAGTGCTAAGTAACTAGTAGAACGTTATTAGTAGAAAATGATGTAAAATGACAATCTACGTTATATGTCTCAAAATTCATCTCAAAACATGTGAGGTTATATGTCTCTCTTTATAAGCTTTCAGAGTTCGAATGGAATTTTAAATCAATAAAAAAATACATAATTTCACAACTAAATTATAGACAATAAAAAAAGACAAGATATCAATAATCAATATGTCCCTTTGGATTTCAACCCAAAAGGGAATGAGGGGAAAATAGAGCAACAAGATCAACAAAAAGCACAAACACCATCATTCTAATAATCTATTAAAAGCATGCACAACTTTTGTTTGCATCTAGAGCTCCTCGGTAAAAAACTATAATTGTGAACTTTTGGGTAGTGATGATTGATGAATGGTGAATTCTACTGCGCCACAAATTTTACCTAGAGTAAGTTTTGGTTCCCTCTCACTGGAACTAAAATATAAATTCTACAAATTGAAAGCCATACACAGCAAAAGCGGGTGGTAGGGGGGGGGGGGGGGGGGGCATCAGTGATAACTGGAAATCATCATTCCCCCAGAAAATCTTATGCACTTTCCAAACTCCCAATTCTTCCCCAACTTGATCGACGCACATTGGCATCAGGTGAACCACGGTGGGACCCATCACTCCCTCGACTACGTATATCTGTTTCTGCAACATCACCAATCTTATGACGCTGTGAAATCTTCAGGAAGTCCACACCACCAATGTCTAGATCATCTTCAACTTTCACACGACGATCCTCCCCACCGCCTGTTTCCTCAAATTCAACTTCCTGACGTCTTTGTGGTGGGACCTCCTCAGTTTCTGCAACAAATGCTCTGAAGTTGTTTTGCGAAGGCTTTACTTTTGTGCAAAATACTTCAAAGAAATTGTTCAAACAGCCACTGTCATACACATTATGTCTTCTGGTACTCCCTCCATACCGGAAATTTTCATAGGTTGTCTGCAATGTGAAAGTGGAACTTGAGCAGGGTCTGGGCTGAGATTTTTAGAACATAGTGATGCATTGTTTGACTACTCGCTCAAGTGATCCTTAGCTATAGACTCTGTTTATATGAATCAAGTTTTTTTAACATGTTTGGCACAGAAAGTATTTATGGAAAACGATTTTACCATGCCTAGCACCGCAAAAATATTTGTATTGAAAAATATTTTCCTTGAATCTTCGGGTCCTGTTTGAAACTCAAAAAATAGTTGAGAAAGCAACTAGGGAGGAAAATAGAGAGGAGATTTGGCAAGAAAACATTGGGAGAAAATAACCAATATGCTCAAACCAGATAAATTTGTTTTAGATATGTTCAAACTCGTTTTATATACTTACTTGTGTTAAATAAACAGCAGAAAAACATAAATATATGTAACATGTTAAAAAAATTATCATATTCCATTTTCCTTTGCATTTTCCACAAAATATTGGTCATATATGACTCCTTTATGGAGACATATAAGTTCAGGAGGCACCATCATCACCACCCATTTACAATTCTTCATAGGTTTATGCGGTGGTGGTTTTGGTGACACATGAGCATATGTAAGTAACTTTAAAATTATTCATAAGAACTAAAACATAAGAAAGACAGTAACTTTACTTGACAGCTTTTTCCTTTCTCTAGAATTTTTGCATCCAAACATACCACAGCTTTTGTTGAAAATGACTTCCCATTTAAACAATTTTGTTTCCTACTTCTGTGGGTCAAACGGTACATAATACACAGAAGTACAGAACAACTTGTTTTTAAAGAAAACAATCCCGCAACATGTTATTACTCCTTGGAGCAGAGGGAGCCTTAGATCCAATGATTAGTGATTATTATAGTAACAAACAGCAAACACATCATAATTAAGCCCAGAATATTGAGGGAGAGAAGAAGATAGTGACCTGATTGGTGCTGATGAGGTACAAGTGAAAACCTGTGAGTCCACCGACAAACCACAAGGCAACAAAACAATAAGCCATTAGAATAACAGAAGCCGGAGATTCTTTCATTGCCTTCCATACTGTGCTTTGGTGATCATCCATCAGAACCTTAATGTAGAAACCACATATGGCAAACACATAGATGCAGAGAAGCATTGCAGACGAAACGAAATAAAAGAAGAAACGGTAGTTGCGCTGCATTTAAATAACAATAAAAATCAATAGGCTGTAGATGGAACTTTCTTTGAACACAAACAGAAATAAATAACTACGGATATGTTGGGAAATTCTTCAAAGCGGCACAAGAAAATAAAAAAAATTATCTTCCTCTCTTAGGATTTGTTTGGTTCGAGGACTCTAGAGGGGAGGGTGATATTCATTTGTAAATAATTTCTACATTTTATTGGTCGGAAATTAAGTAAAGATAAAGAACTATATAGAATTACATGATCTAACTAACCATATAATTATTTCTAGTTTAAAACTAAAACATAGAAATAAATTCGTAGAATTAAAAACTAAAAATCAATCATTCCCTCCAAAATCCCTGAACTAACAAACTCATAGTATCATTTCTTGTGGTTGGGTTGAGGTAAAATAAGAAAGGAAACGAAGGCAATAATTTTTGTATTTATTTGAATTATAGACTTTGGTGGAAATTCAAGAAAATGCTATAAATTTATGATTTTAACCTAATAGCACACACTTACACACCACTTCTAATTTAACAGGTGAGATAATAAGGTAAATTTTATATTGATTAGTGAATATCCCATCCAATTTGGAGACAAAGAGAAGAATGGAAGTTATGGGTTATGTTTTCTTTCTATTTATGAGCTCATTATTTTCCTTTCATCCTTATTTTGTTTCTTCCCAAGCACAGTGAAAAAGTAGCTTCTTACCAATCCTATGCATTGGCCTACCCAAGGGCAGTGGTGGTCAAAGCGCTCAACACAGTTGTTGCAGATGGAGCAATGAGAGCATCGAGGGGGGCGATACAGCATGCAGGTATCACAATATTTTACCTTGACAGTAACTCCGTTAACATTAACATCCTTTATTCTGGGGAATTGAAGGCTTGGTGTTTGCCTCCCGCCAGCCTCTGCCGATGCTGACGTTTCATAACGGAGTTCTTCCTCAGGTGGGTGTGAATTGCGTGGAACAATACCAGGATCTCGAGATGATGTAAACAGTAGTAGAGCCAATACCTACAAAAAGATTAATAATGCTACCCAGTATGAAGCACAGCTTCATTTGTTTCATATCGTACGATTTCAAGACCACCTCATTTCCAGATGCATGATAGCAATAAAAGAAAGATTGTGAAACGCAATACAAAATATTGTTAATATACTTATTGCAGTATTTCCATTACTAATGGTAGGAAATATACAACTATCATGAGTACGGTGAAAGCTTTAACAAGAAGCTGAAAGTAGGAATTATGGATTTCACAAGATACTTGAGTTCCGTTCGGAAACCAAGAAATGCTATAGAAAAAGAAAATGTGGAGGCAAGTTTAGGAAAATTTAGGGCAAAACAAAAAAAAGGTTCAAACTCAATACTTTAATTCAGATACTAGTTCGAATACATTGTATTTATATACATCTGCTACATAAATATATATAAATAATTAAACTTATTATCAAGTTTCATATTTTACATAAATGAAACATTATAAAACATTCCTTCACATCTTTTTACCTTTCCCTACCATTTTTCTGTGTTCCAAACATAGCCTTAGGTATGTGTGTATCAAGGAAACTGCTAGGGAAAAGGAAAAATCCCAAGAAAAGTTATTTTAGTATAAATTTCTTTGCCTTGATAGCGTAAAGAAAAATGAAATCTGATTAATTTTATAGACACATTAATGTATCTAACTTCATAAGTCCTTTATCCCTCTCGGGCCTCTCCCAAAATTTTATCCTTATATAATTGAAATGATTAAATAAGATAAGTTTGAACATTGAACAAATATCTAAAACAAATTTATTGATTTGATTCTACCCTTTATCCCTCTCGGGCCTCTCCCAAAATTTTCATTACTTTCCATCTTCCTCTCGTTTTCCTTTCTATTTTCTCTTTCTCGGGCATTTTCAGAGCTCCAAAAAAACTTTACTCAAACCACTTTCCTAACGGTTTACATCTCAGTTGACTGCCTACAACAGCTCACATGTCAGATTATCAACGCCCACGTTCTTTGATTGACCATTGTACATTTGGATTCAGAGAGCTAGATAGTTCGTATACATGACAATTATCAAAACACAAAATGCATGTTATTAATCCAACAAGACTAAAAGTGCTGCAGCTTACATGAATGGTAAAAGCAATTGGCACCCCTAAAACTGCATACCCAACATTATGTGGAGAAAACTGGTGGCGAAGATGTCTTGCAACAAATACACAGAAAGTAGCAACAGGTATAGTGATTAGCAGAATAGAGACAAGCAACGACCTTGCATCTGGACCAAATATCAATCTTCCACCAAGAAAAAACTTCTGTACAATATATTAGGGAAAGAGCAAGTTAGAAATACTTAACTAGTAATAATGCTTAGTATAAATCGGGGATATTGGAGTTCTCACCCCACTTTTTCATTCAATTTTGAGTTAACACTCCATTTTTTAAACCATACTATATGCAGACCTGTTAGAAAGAATGTTAATAGTTGTTACCGTAGATTGGGATTGAATCCTATAAGATTGTTCCCATGGTAATTTGCACCACATTTTCCCCAAATTGGGGTTTAATTTCAACAGCATATTTAACTCTCCTATCTTAACGAGCAGGGTGCAAATATGGATGATTTTTAAAAATGGTGTGCAAACTCAAACTTGTATGAAAAGATGGGGTGCGAATTGAAACTGTAACCAATCTTTCATCTTTGAAGTAATAGTTGACAATAGTTAATCTGCTCATTAAAAGCCATGAAAACCCTACAGTAAGAATCGCCTAAAATTGCAAATTATTATTCCACATATAACAAAACAAGAATATGTGACCTACTCCGGCTGGATTGGGACCAATGCTAAATTTAGTTAAGTCAAAAAAAAGATACTAGTTCGAAGATCCGTTATAGCAAATACAAATCATAAAAATCAAAGAAGACCCACATATACTGATGCGAAACTAACGATAAACGAATGATGAAGATACAAGTTACACAGAAATTGAAATTAAAAAAAAGGACAGATGTGTAAGCAGTTCTCACATTGCTTCCTTTCCAGACTTCATACACGCGCTTAGCCATGTGAACGTGCACTACTACAGACGTCCTCCTTTCTCTCAAGTCAAACCAGGATGCAGTTTAAGAGCTTGGAGCTTAAGACTACCCATCTCCTTCACAGCTCAACCCGCCGTTGACCCAGACTGCCAGTTGCACAGGCGCAGAGAAAAGCGAATCTCAGTATATGCCGCAGTCGATTGAAGTGATTCGAGGGCAATGACAGTAAACTATAAGATTAGATATGGATTTCTGTGGATTGTGGAATCGTAAAACTCCATTTCCTGTATACAGAAACCAACAATGGAGTGTGCTCTGGGCTTCTCCTGGGGAGAAGAGGGGGTGGGTGTTTTTGTTGGAGCTGTTTGGGAAGGAATGAAATGACTTCGAATTATTTCTTCTTACTTTTCAACTTTACGACAAGAAGAAATTGCTAAAATAAAATTGGTTCTCGTCTTCTCGGCTCGCCTGTTAATGTTGGGCACTTAGGCTACAATGATCGATCCTAACTACATTTAGATCTCGAGTGTGAATTAACTTTAGGCTGATATAACAGGTTAGGGTTTTTGTTCATTATTCTTGCACTTTTATACTAACGGTATATCCCCTCTTAAACAATCGCAATATTTTGAATTTATAATATATATTTTTTGGAAGCAGATGACTTATATTAATAAGAAAGAATATAAACAAGATACAAACAGACAAAGAACTTGTAGTCTACCGTCCGCTCTTGAACCAGACTTAGAATCTGTCACCTCTATCGAAGCAATCAGATTCGTTCATCCTAAATTGGGCTTACTTGAACCAATGACTAGTAAACTAGATTCCACATCACCTGTCCTAAGTTCTATAGCCTTGACAAAACTAAAAATGACAATGATAGAGTATATCTAGATAGAGGTGAGAGCTAGAGAGAGAAATGCAATAATATGCTTCAATAGAATGAATTTGTAACCCTTATAACTACTCCCAAGGGGAGTATTTATAGAGAAAATACGGGCTGGGCTCCCAAGCCTTGGGCTTGGGAGGCCCATTTACAACTGGACCGCTACTGGGCCGAATACAAAGCCACTAATGGACTGTACAAATGAGTAAGTGTGAAATCCGGTTTTGTGAGGTCTTCGTGGCCGACGAGGGCGTGGCCGATGAGGGCACGACCGACGAGGGCGCGGCCGACGAGGGCACCCGGGTTCCTTGGATTCAGGACCATATTCTGAGTTGGTACCTTCCCGGCCGACGGGGGTCCCTTGGCCGACGAGGACACCACTCAGAGTCTTGTGTTTTCTGTTCTTCTAAGTATGTGGGTCCTGGGGCTCAGACCCATATACTCTATCAGGAGTCTCCCACTCTCTAAGCTGAGACGTAGACGAAGTGAAGGAGAGTAGATTCCCGCGCTTTGGTGCTTTTGGCCGATGCGGGCACTCCCAGGCCGTTAGCTGTTGCGGTGTTGGCGATGTCTTCATTTCGGTGATCTTGTTCCGTGCTTTGGCCGTTACCTGCTCCTTGTTGTGGACGGGGGGCCGTTGTTTCCTTGGTGTGTCCGTTTGGGGACGATGAGTGCCCTGCTTCGATGGTGGCCGTTGAAGGCGCGTTTTCCCTCTCTTGGACGTTGATGGTTGAGATTTACATTTGGACCGATGAGGCCGTTGGGGTTGAACCTTGCTTCGAGGACGATGGGCGTCCTTTCCTTTGGGTGGCCGATGAGGGTGCTTGCGCACTCCTTTTGGTCGTCACTGGTTGGCTTTCATGTTCTTGGCCGAAGAGCCCATTATGATTAAATGTTGGCGGAGGACGATGAATGTCCTTGCCTTAGGTGGCCAGTTGGCCGTTGTTGATGATGTTATGTGCCTTTGGCCGACGAGGCGCAGTGTGATACATGGACGACGTGGCCATGCTTTGTGGTTACATTTGTGTTCTTTGCATCTTTCCTTTCTGTTTTGTTGAGGCCGATGTAGTCCCCCAGTCCCCCACTGCTTCAGGCCGAAGAGAGTGAGGGGTGAAGGAGTTGCTTGAGTCCCTGGCCGAAGCGGCCTCTCCGTAGTGCCCCTGAATTCAACCCTTATGGCGATTTTCTGGTCAAGGTAACCCTGTGGGAGAACCCTTATGCGCAGATCGCTTGTAAAGAGTTATCATCAAGGGTCGTTACGAAGAGTCGATGGCTGCAGGTTCTTTGTTCTTTTGGTTCTGTGGCCGTCACGGGCGTTCATGACATTCCTGGCCGTTGTCATCTCCTTATTGCTGGCCTTTGTGAAGCCGGTAAGCGTATAGGCCGTTGTGGGCGCCTTGCTAGCATTTGTGAAGCCGGCAAGCATATAGGCCGTTGTGGGCGCTCGTTGTCCGTGTGATCCGTAGGCTTTTACTCCGCCGATAAGTTGGTTCACGAGCCCGGCCCATTTCTGAAGGTGTGGCACCTCATCGGCTGCTGGGAAGGTGACCGTTGAGGTGGCCACTGATATGGTGCCACGTGTAGTGATCGTTGGAGATTTGTCTATAAATACCCCCCCCCCCCCCCCCCATCTCCGAAGCGGTTCCTTGCTTGCATTCTTGAGATATCGAAGTGCTGCCCGAATTTCTAGAGAGAGAGAGTCTTCAAGGTGTTCTTCGAGTTCTTCATATCTTCAAGGTTAGTTCTTGACTTGTTCTTCAATTCCTTTGCATACTTTGCTTCCCTGAGCCTTGATCTAGTGTTAGTGGACAAAACGCCTTAGATCCAAAGTAATCCCCCTTAGGCTCGTAATAGTTGTTATGATGAAGAGCTTAGACGAAGAATATTATCTGTACGACGACCAGCCCTCCACTAGGTCCCTCGACTATGAGGTGCTTGAGGAGTTCGAGGAAGAGATAGAGCGTTTAAGTCCTTACAAGTCCGGAGAGCCGGTGGACGACGAAGGTGAGGACGAGGAGTCCGCCTCGTCTTCAAAAGGTGAGGACGCAGGTGCGTCCCGAGTGGTGGACGGGGCGTCCACTTCCGCTGTTATTCCGTGCCCGAGACCGGTGTCTGCCGTGAAGGGAGCAGATAAGCCGAAGAGAATAAGGAGGCCGAAGAGTGGGCCGGGCGTCTCCTACCTGGATCTCACAAATATTTTCCTGATCAAGCCGGAGAGCAGCGCGGCTGACTACTTAGTTGCCCAGATGTACGTGGGGCCGTTCGGGAGGGTTAGGGCACCCAGGCCGACGGACCATGTACTCCATCCGCCACCGGGATACTTCGGAGTATACCCAATGAGTTTCGCCAAGGGGTTAAGGTTTCCCCTTCATCCCTTCATCACTGAATATCTGGACATGGTGGGACTCCCTCCGGCCTTGCTGACCCTGAACAGCTACTCGTTGATGGTGGGGTTCTTGCTCCGCTGTGAGGAGTTGGGCTACAGGCCGACGACGGCTCTGTTCATGAATCTTTATCAGATCGGCCGAGGAAGCCACAAAAATTGTGCAGCCTATGCTACCCTCCAACAGCTGCCGAAGAAGAGGAGCTTCACGGACTTGCCTTCGTCCATCCATGGATGGAAGAGCAAGTTCGTTTTTGTATCCCTTGGTGAGAACGGCACTGAGTTTCCTTCTCTCGGCCACACCGGGAGGTTCAACCTGCACGACCCGCCGAGGAGTTCGATCTTGGACGCTCAGGTGGAGGCGTTCTTGGAAGGGGGGCCGAGGAGCGTGAAGGACTACATCACCGAATATAAGATGACCGCCCTCGACTTCTTCAGATACTATGTGTATGGCGACAAGGAGGACGATGTCCAACTTTGGCCGAGGATGACCACTACCTTCGAAGAGGCCGACGGCCCGGATTTGGGCATTCCTGCTGAGGTCGATGGTAATACTTCCTTCGGCTTTCTTCCTTTGTTATTTGTTCTTTTGCCTTGCTAATCTGTTCATTTTCCTTTGTGTAGATTTTGTTATGGATCGCCGTTCAATCATGGCCATAGCCAAGGCCAAGGCGGCCGAGGGGTTGGCTGCAAAGGCGGCCGAGGCGGCCAGACGTGCCACGGCCGAGGGGGCGGGGCTACTGCCGGTGCGGCCCCGAAGCCTGCCCAGTCCAAGAAGAAGAGGCCTCCCACTGACGGCCAGAAGAAATTGACCGAGGCTGGCCTGAATGTCACTAAGAAGACGAAGAGGGCACCGTCTCCTTCCCATGCCGATGAGGTCGGCACTCTGACCGTCCCAAATGTGGACGATAGTGGCCCCGTTGTGGATCTTACCGCCGCTCCAAGCGATGCTGCCCAATCGCTCCCTCTCGTCCAGGAGCCACGGACGAAGAGGGCCGGCAAGGAGATTGCCGCTGCCACCTACCAGAAAATGGTGGAATACCCCGTCGGCGGGGGTGTCTTTGACGATGGCGTCCTCGGCCACGATGTGCTGGCCCAGGCCATGCCGGCCAAAGATCGGGCCTACCTCAAGAGGCTCGAGGACGTCAAGGTGTACGAAGGCGGGATGGACCTCATCGTCCAAGTAAGTTCCCTTTCCTTTTATTTGTCGTTTTTCTCGTCGTCCGGGTGAAATCATTTGCCTGAGTCTTTGTTTGCCTTTGTTGTGCAGGGTGCCTTCATGCTCATGGAGAGCCACAAGAGGCAGCAACGGGAGATTGCTCGTCTGAAGGAGCTTGAACAAAAGGCTGCCTCGGCCGATGAGGCGGTGGCCTGCTTGGATCGGCTCCAGGAGGATGCCAAGGCTCTGCAAAAGAGGGCCGATGAGGCAGCTGCAGCCAGGGACGATGCCCTGGCCAAACTTGAGGAGAGTCAGATGGCGCTTGAGGCTGAACGGCGCAAAAGTGATGAAGCCGTGAAGGCAAAAACTGAGGCCGAGGCTGTCGCTGTGAAGGCCGCTGATGAGGCCGTTCAGCAGTTCCTGGCCGAGGGGTGGAAGGCCGATGAGCGGCTCCCCTGGTGTTATGAAGTGGTGGCCGCCAGGCTTGAAGATTGGGGAATGAACTCCCCCGCCGGCCAAGAGTACTTTGGCAGGGAGATGGCCGTGTACTACAACATGGGCCAAGAGTGGATGAAGAGGCTCCTGTGTCGGCGGCTATCGCGTGCCCTCAAAGCCATGAACTATACCTCCAGGTGGGCAAGGCGGAGCCTGAAGCTTCCCAAGCTGATGAAGGATCCCGAGGAGCAGGCCAAGCTTCCTCTTTCGGAGCGGGAGCCCCCAATCGAAAGTTCCGGCCTTGGCGAGCCGGATTATGACGAGTTTGACTTCCTGGATGACGCCACCAGTTCTGCAGCTGCCGCCGACCAGGAGACTGAGGCCGAGGAGGGAGCCGAAGATGCCGAAGAGCAAACCCAGGCTGGGCATGGAGGCGCCCAAGAGACTTGATCGGCTACTCCCCGTTCCCTATCTTGTAATTAATTATTTTCTATTTTTGCCCATCTGATGTAATGGCCGAAGCGCCCACCAATGTACTTGATTGTTTATGAATGAACGTTTACTGTCCTGCTCGGCTTTGAATGTCTTGTATGTTTATTCCCTTTTGCTATTTCAATGTTGAAATTTGTCTAAGTGTAAAAGTTACCACTTAGGGTCACCCGCGAGTGTTTGCTACGTCCGTGAGGTAGGCCATTCAGTC